CGCCCCTTTGCCTAAGCAAGGAGCTTCCCAGGGCAATGACAAGCGCAATTTACATTGTTATCTTCTGCTCCCGCTTCGTGTTCAATAACGTCGAGGACAACCAATTTCGCCGTGAGTGACTTGTGACTTACTCGATTTACTCCTGTGTTTGCGCACTCAACCACAGCACTCGAGACTGCATACAAGCCCATGTGGACCATGGTTGGTTGTCCCGACAAAATAAGTACAACCGTTGAACGGCGACCATGTCTATTACCGGGGAGTAGGAGGTTCAATTCCTCCCAAGGGCATTGTGCTCTGTCGCGCCTCTTTTTTGCCTAACAAGCGGGGTCGTCGCATCCGTGATGGTCGAGTTCATCACTTCCTCGAGGAAAACGTTGTGGGAACGTGGTGTAGACAAATTTAAAATCACGGCTCCAGCCCCTGCAACTCAAGACCATTATTTCCTACTCATGCTACCTGGGGACCCACGACAACATTCAGGCCCTCGATGATCAAGGTTGATTACCCCGAAAACGACAAGGGGAAAAGGAGGTTCAATTCCTCCCGGTGGCATTGTTTTCAACAATGATTGGTATCCTTTTTTTTTAGCTTACAAGCGGGGTAGTTACTAACTCCCGTGAGGGTTGAGCTCATTACTTATTTGAGCCTGAAGATGTCGTGAGACCTGGTAACAAAAAAGGACGTGGCTCTCTAGTCCTCCCGAGAGCCTGCAACTCAAGTCCACTATTTCGTACTCATCCTACTTGGGTGCCCACCACAACATTCAAGCCCTCGAGGATCAAGGTTGATCGCCCGATGAAGTGATGAAGAATGACGGGAATAAACACGGGAAGAAGGAGGTTCAATTCCTCCCAGGGGCATTAGCCAACACAGTGTCATTCTTTTTGGCCAGCAGGCGGGGTAGCCCCAGCCTCCTTCTATTGCATGTCTGGCTCGGGCGTCCGTATTCCGTGATGCACGATTCGGAGGTCCCTGCTTTTGTAGTCATGAAACTGCACCAGAAAATGGGCGTCGCAAAATCACCCCACTCCAGGCCTCTCGAGAACCGTTGAGTGGGGACCGATGTCCCCTGCTCAATCATACCCGGGTACCCACCACAAAATCCAAGCCCCGGGGGATCAAGCTCAATGCTGATCGATCCGACGAATCGGAACGGAGACGGACAATTCCTCCTGGGGATATGGGCATTGCTCAGGATGGCTCTTTTTTTTAGGTAGCTGCATCCTCTGTGACACTGTCTATCCCATGTCGGGGTCAAGTGTCCGTATTCCCTGATGCAAGAGCTCTTTGCTTACTTTTCACGGTCCAAAGATATTGCCTGAAAATCGGCGAGTCTCGACTGTGGAAGTCCTCTCGAGCTGTGAAAGTCGAGACCAACCCCCTACCCGGCGCATCCTACCCGTGTCCCCGCCGCCACGTTGAAGCCCTCACAGTTCAAGGCTGATCACCTCGACGAAATCATTTGTTTCTGAACATAAATTACGGGGAGACTGAGGTTCGAATCCTCCTGGGGGCATTTGTCGCCATAGGTTCTTTCTTTTGGGTAGCTACATCCTCTGTCTATTCCATGTCAGGCTGGAGCGCCCGTATTCCGTGACTCTGCACGAGACCTTGGCTTACTTCTCGCGGTCTAAAGATGATGCGTGAAAGAAGGTGGGTCACACTTTCTTTCAGTCCTCCCTAGCTGGGAAAGTCGAGAATAATCTCGTTTACTAACACAGCATGCGTAGGGGTACCCACCACTACTTTAAAGCCCTCGCAGGTCAAGCCCAACAAAATAGCTCGCGCTGCATGCGATTCAACATGGGGAGACGGAGGGTCGAATCCTCCCGGGGGCATATCGCTCAGGCTTCTGTTTTTTTTTTTTTTTTTGAGGGGAAGGTGAAGTTCCCTCAGAATGATCGCTCGAATATGTCCTAGCTCGCGTACTCCCGACGAGTTGTATACTCAACAGGGCCTTGCTATTTCCATACGTTTTAAACGTTTACCGGTGGGATCGGGGAAGGCTTATCTACCCTGGCCTTTTCTCTCTTGTAATTGATTATCTCAACCAAGCTGCTGGTTCACAGACATATGTAAGCCTCTGGGGACTCTGGGAGTAGCCTTACACAAATACAGTGTCCAGCCATAATGAAAATCATTGAGACTGGGGTTCGATTCCCTCTGAAGGCCATCATCAATGCTGATGCGTCTTTAGCGTCTTCGTTTCTTTGGGCCCAGGACCTGCATCCAGAGCTGAACAGTTCATAGCTCGGTGCGTGTAATGGCACACGATTCCGATGCCCGAGATGCTTGACGCCCACAAAATCAAAGACGGATCATGGCGTGGAGGGACTTCGTTATCCCCAAAGGTGCAGTCTGTTGAATTAGCAATTCGCCTCTGCGGACTGTTGGAGTCGCATCAGCTCGTTTGCACGCACGCAGGATGAATATCTAAGGAGATTAGGTTCGATTCCCTTCAAAGCGCCTTGAATGTTTGGATTCTTTTTCACACAATGCATCCAGTCGAAGGAGAAATCAAGCCTCTGTGACCTAAGCTCATTATCCATCCCAAATTAAAAAGTTTAGAGAGACGGGGGTCGATTCCCTCCGCAAGCTTTCCAAATGAAGATAAAGTTTTTTTCTCGGCACAGGCAGGAACTCGGTTGTTGTCTTTGGGCGCCTGTTAGCAATTTAGGTTCTCGGCCACGATGCGAATACCGGAGTTGCGTGGTTCCAGGAGCTCGAACACTGATTGAACACGGATTATCTACAGAGGTATCGTGAAAGGGGTGCACACACAGCCCTCTTAATTGGAACTCAAGTAAAACCTCTGTGCCTGTTGCAGTCACCTCAACACTCGTTAACAGTCCACCTTGGAAAATTGGGCAGGCAAGGGGTCGATTCCCTTCGGAGCCGTGTGTGGATTGGTGGATTTTTCTTATTTTATTTCGTTCGTAAGTCTCTGCTGCGAATTCGTACTCGCGCATACCCGAGATGCTGAATGAACACAAATATCGAATCTTGCCAGGGACGACGACATCATTGCGCGCGCTTGGATCCAGGTGTGTAGCTGGAATAAGATGGCAGCCTGCGTGGACTATGGGAGTCACCTCACCTCTGATTATCGTTGAGCCTGTACAAATTGAAGAGCAGTGAGGAGACGAGGGTTCGATTCCCTCCGAAGGCGTGTCAGGATATGGCTCCTTTTTTTCGTCCATTGTCATCCCGGAAGTTGTGATCACATCCTCCAAGATGTACGGGGACACGTCTCTTTTTTTTCTTTGTCCCGTCCCAGAGTAGAGGCGGACCGGTGTGTACAGTTCCCTCGGATCATCGTTTTGCCCTGGATACTCTGTAGGTGTACCTACAGTGTACGCGAATAGCAATGCCCGAGCCCGGTACAAATTGAACACAAAATCGAAGCGTGGGAGAATGAACGTGCAGGATCATCAAAATACATTTACGATAGATTGACTTGAAGGAAGAGGTATATAAGGCTCCGTGGATTCAGGAAGTCTCCTCATACATATTCTCGCATACGAAAAAGACAGTGTGTATTGAGGAGAGGAGAGGAGGGTTCGTATCCCTCCGGGGGCGTAGCAATGCTTTCATTGAAGTGCTTTTAATTTATGTACTTGTTTGGGTGTGCTCTTCAGTTATTGCCTCCATGCCTTGGCAGATCTCAGAGCTCGCCACCCGCCTCGATTGGAGACATATCTGTGTATGTGGATTGGCACACACGTGTTAACGCGGATGCATGAGATGCCTGGTGTAATCCTGGCCCCGGATTACGGACCGATCACCGCTTACATATGCTAGTCTCTTGTCGTCTACCTCTTTGTCGTTGCTACTCGCGCTCGCCTCTGGCTCGCTCGCAGAATACACCATGGTCTTGTTGACTTGGTGTGATTTCCTTTCCAGTGTTTCTTGCCCGGCCGGCCAGCTTCCACTTTTTTTTCACCTTCCACCACGGATATCGTACTACATCTCCACACTGGCAGACACTACCCAGCGCGCTGCTACTCGCAAAATCATCGCTGCAGGTGGCTCTTCCCTGCACCCTCCGCTCCCCGCTCCATCTCGTCGCTCGCGGACCTCGTCTGCTGATCCCACGGACGACGCCACGTCACCACCGCCTAACTCCCCTCGACGCCGCTCCCTGACTCGCCCGTCGTTCGCGACCAACCACCACATCTACCGCCTACGCAAACCCCTTCGGAACCATCTCCCGCTCCTCCAGCAACTCGGGCACCCCGATCCATGTCTAAACTTGATTTCCCCAAGCTCTCGGATGAGCTCACCCCGGCGAGCATACACGGCTGGCTCGGCCGCTGCGAAGACACTCACGAAGCCTGGCAGGCTCTGAACCGCGAGAAAACGATGGCTCCCCGCACGCTCATCACGCTGGCTGGTTTGAAGATGGAGGAAAGCACCGCCGCGACATGGTGGAACGAGAATCGTGCGGATTTGAAAGATCTGAAATCTTGGGAGGCGTTTTCGCAGAAGGTCAAGGATAGGTTCGTCCCCTCAAACTGGCGCATGGACGGCCTCGCCGCGTTCTACGCTATCCACCAGGGCGCGTCCCCCTTCTCTGATTTCGCGAGGGCACTCCAGACGGCACGTAACTGGCTACGAACAAGTGCACACATCTGCAACATCACCTCCAAAGTGCACACATACTCGACGGCTTACAAGCCTCTGTAGACTTAAATTGAAGTCACTTTAAAAAAAAGTGGGTCTGTCCTAACTTCGCATTGAGGAGATGAGGGTTCGAATTCCCCCGGAGGCCCAAGTAAAAGCCTCCACGCTTTTTCACTCATCGCCGAAAGAACCAGAGCCTAAATTTTCGACTTGACCTCGGAATCGTTCTTTATGCTTCGAATGTTTTGCGCATCGGCTCGCTCAAATTCCAAAATGCCTTATCCTAAGTGAACACAAATCCAACCGTGGGACGAAAAACTTGCAAGATCATTCACAAGAAAGCACACACATTCCACAGTTGGAACGGTGAATAAGCCTCTGTGGACTGTGGAAGTCACTTCATCTCGTTTGGCCTCCAGAAGATTGGTTATTTGAAGAGACGTGGGTTCAATTCCCACCGAAGGCGTGCATGAACTGGATTATTTTGCATGTCGATACCTTCTTTGTTTTCTACCCATCCCGTTGTGATCGCGTTGCGGATCGATATGAACATTCCCGAGATGCCCGAGAGACAACAAAGTCGCACAGAGTTATCAAAAGGTGCACATAGAGTACATTCTACTCAGTTGATGGTTGATTTATGCCTCCTTAGACCACGGAAGTCGCCTCAGCTCGTTCGGTGTCGTGTTCCGTCAAGCTTGAAGAGTATTGAGGAAACGGGGTTCGACTCCCTCCGGAGGCCTGTGGGATACAATGGGGTTTTTCTTTCCATCTTGTTTTTCCTTTCTTCGATCCAAGTATCCGAAGGACTACGGAAGTCGCAATGTAGCACACGATCCGGATACCCGAGAAGCCCGACATCCACACAATCAACACGAATCAGCAGAGTTATATCTAAAAAGTGCACAATAATGCATTCAGTCTGAGAAGAAATGACGCCTCTGTGGGCTATGGAAGTCGCCTCACTCAAATCAGTGGGCATCATGGAAATCGTTGAGGAGCTGGGGGTTCTCCCTCCGGAGGCAATGAGGCATAGGTCAGATAGCGTGTTTTTTCTTTTGCTGCTGTTACAGCTGGAAGCTTGAGCACACTTTGGCTGAGGGACATACCCGAAATGTCAGAGGAGCGTTGGACGTATTGAGAAGCTGGGGAGGAAAACTTGAGGAAACGAAATGAATCTGGCATGATTCTAGTCTCTAGATGCAAAGCAGTTTCAGAAACGCCAATCTTCATTCTGTCCTCAATTCTCAGTCATTTCAGGCTGAAATTCAAGCACGTTTAGGCACATGCCACACGGCCAGACTCACGGAGGTCGGCCAGATGGTTTTTCAACCTTCAACCTTCAGCCCGGGATTACCCGGATCAAATATTGATCTCCTTTGACACATGGCAACCAGCATATTTGAAGAGCCTCCTCGCCAACCACTGCCACCAGTGAACTCCTTGTACATGTATGTTGGCACCGACCTTTCAGGCTGTCAAAGGCTCAGTGCTGTCGCCAGTGTTGTGTGAAAATTGTGGCTCGTGGCAGTGTGGTTCATTGCGGCGACATCACCCGGACCTTGCCCGGACCGTTCACGCGTTCACGACTCCACGCATCCGACTCATCCGAGCGCGTATGAGCTGCGGAGACTTTCCCGTCGGTGGTCGAATGATTTGCCACAGATACCGACGGTGATGGGTGGCCCGCAGTTCTGAATCGCTTGCAGATCCCTTGCAATAAAAGCGTCAGACATTGACTCAAGGACGACAAACGATGCTTCTTTCCACTTCTTTCTTACTCTTCCTTTTCTCTCTATTCACCCATTCAGCGGCCCTGCCGGTCCAGAATTCGACTTCAGACTCGCCGACCTGTCGCAATGTGCCGGGCAGCTCTGGATATCCCAGCACCGCTGCATGGGATGCATTCAATGCGACGATATCTGGACGCTTAGTTCGTTCAGTTCCCTCCGGCGAGTATTGCGCGAGCCTCCCAGGTGGATGCTCGGACGCAGAATGGACCAGTGCATTATTTCGGGCGACGATTCCGGGAGCCATGGAAGCGGTGGGCTTACAGATGATGATTCCCTTGAACGCTGACGGCTTATGCCAAGATATTCAGACGAATTGGGAGCAGGTACGATGAGATCGCTTTTGTCTTATTTTCGCTGACAACATTATTTGCAGGGTTATGACTTGACTCCCCCGTCCTTGTGTCTGCAAAATTCAACAACGTGCGGACAGGGCGACGTTCCCATTTACGCGGTGGAGGCAGAGACAGTCGCGGATATACAGGTACCGTTGTCAATTGCGCTATTGAACGTCATTAACTGGGACCCAGGCGGCGGTCAATTTTTCCAGCACGAATAATCTCCGAGTCGTTGTCAAATCTACCGGGCACGATTACCTTGGACGGTCGACGGCACCGAACTCTCTGCTCATCCGCACAACAAAGTTCAACAACATCTCCTTTGTCGATTCGTTCACAATAGGGGCTGAGGATATGGGATCCGCTGTGACTATAGGTACTGGAGTGTTCTCCCACGACGTTTATGCTCAGGGTAAAGCGAACGGGAAGATGGCAGTCGGCGGTTCAGCGGCTACAGTATCGATTGCTGGAGGTTATGTCCAAGGCGCGGGTCATTCAGCAATGGCACCGACTTTCGGCCTCGCAGCCGATAATGTCCTCGGTGAGTTTTCAAAGCGACTTGGAAACACGGCTCTCATATCCCGATTCAAGAGTTCCAAGTTGTTGTCGCGAGCGGCGAGTTGCTGACAGTGAACAGCATCTCTCACCCTGACTGTCAGTGTTCGCTTTTTGCACCCTCGACCGCGTCTTGAATAATCTCGATTCTCCAGTGTTCTATGCTCTGCGTGGCGGAGGCGCTGGAAGCTGGGGGATCATTGTCTCCGCCACATTCCACGCTTTCCCGACGTTCAACGCCACCTCAAGCACGATCCTTTTGACAGCGCAAAATGACACCGTCGCGTCGTCCCTGGCCGCCATCCACGCGCAACACATCTTCGACTGGGACTCCGTGCGAGCAGGCCAGTACTTCTGGCTCCTGAAAGACTCGTCATCCGCAGACGCGTCCTCCACTCTTGCTGTCAATACATACATGCCGAACACGACCGTGGCGCAGAGCACGGCGCTTCTTGCACCCTTCATCAATGCCTCCCTGGCGCTCCCCGGCGTATCGCTGTATTCGCAGCAGTATACGTATGGAGACATCAACGACGCTCTTTATCAGGCGGACGACAGCGTAGGGACCAACGTGGCTATGGGGTCCAGACTTGTGCCAGCGGCCGCATACCGCGACTCGCCTGCGACGGTTGAGGAGGTTTACAAGAAACTTTTGGCGACGGGCGCTCGACAGTGAGTCCTTTATCCCCGCGTTATTTTCTCTTTCTTAACTCGTGGGACAGCATTCTGGGGCATCTTGTCGCTGGAGGTTCGCACCAATATTCCTTGATTTTTTCTCTTCTGAACAGTTAGTTGACCGTGTTCATTACAGGCAAAGTAGCGGAGAATGCCAACATCTCTTCCGCTGTTAACCCCGCATGGCGAACGGCCAAGGCCCACGTCCGTGACTTTCCGCTGCTGTCTTTGCGTGTATTCACGATCTTTTTGCTGTACAGCTCATCGTCACGAACTCATGGAACGACTCAGCATCACTCGCTGAAGTCCGCGATGTTCGAAACTTGTTCCAGACCGCCCAGCTCCCCATTCTGGAAGAGTTGACGGGTTCGGACGCCGGCTCTTACTCCAACGAGGGCGACCTTTTCGAGCCGAACTTCCAGACCACCTTTTTTGGTCCCAACTATGCGAAGCTGAGTGCGATCAAGGCAACGTACGATCCTGAGGATTTGTTTATCGTTGCGGCGGGGGTTGGGAGCGAGCGCTGGGATGAATGGGGCCTATGCAGGCTTTGATGTCCTCATGTTCTAACTCGTAACTCCTTTAAACAATAATATGTATGCCCTTGTTGCCAATTTTGTGAAACGACTTGAGAAGGTGTGCATAATGTCCATGTAGGTGAGTAGAACGATAATACTTAATGCCCGTGCCCATGTACTGGAAAGTCAGCTCAGTTGCGTCAAGTATTTGGGGTGAGGTGGGCTCATTTTACCGCCGGGGTCTGCGGCGACCACGGTTTTTGTGGCTGTTTTTCTTTTCGCACCATTAGCCAGCGGCATTACAGCTGATTTGAAAAAAGAATGCCTCTTTTGATCGCGCGTTCGTCATTCGTTTTTGTTTGCACCCGCTTGACGGTGCGTCTCCTTCGGCTCCACCGGCATATTGATGCAAACGCGCTGTAGTCCGTTGAAAGGCCGATTTTTTTTGCCTATCGGTATGGTCGCTCTTTGCCCCTTCCCCTGCTCTGTCCGCTACAAGGGTGCCCCCGGAACGTCCCACTCCTTGTGTTTGCCAAAGGACTTGTGGAGCGTAAGCACAGCCTGCCATTCAAAAGTGGAGCTCCGTCGCAAATAGAGGTAAGCACAAACGAAGAACGAACACGCGATCAAAAGCGGCATTCTTTTTTCAAAACAGCTGTATCCAAGGGACAGAACGGAACAACTCGGCAACCTACGGATCTCCTCAAATTGATCGCCGATTGAAGTTATTGAACCGTGGGACAACATGAATAGGCAAGGTTATCCGTTGAACTGCGAGTTGTCCATGAACTTGCAAAGATGATAAAGCTTCTGTGGACTTGAGAAGTCCCCCTTACCTGATGTGAGAGCGTAGTTGAACCTATTTAGAAAACGTGGGTTCGAGTGAAAAGCGGGGGTAACTATGCATTAAGATTTACATAGCCCATGCAGTTGGAAGCAAACAGGCCTATGTAGACCCGGGAAGTCGCGTCATACAATTTGAGTATATTGAGGATGCGATGCTTCGATACCCTCTAGCAACCGTCAAACACGTAACAAAATTAGAACTTGAGCCCGCGGTGTCTTGCGACTTGGGATGCCCGACAAAAATGAGCAAAGTTGAGCTCTACTAGCAACTTGCCAAGTGGGAACGTTTACGCAGCGCATTTGCTGAGTTTATACGGATTAATCATAGACGTTGAACACGAAGATTCAGTCAGTTCCTCAACGGTTCCCGGTGGAATATTTAGCATGGTTCAAGCTTGTTTATAAGCACGGATAGTCGGGAATTCGGGTGTTCGGTCGGATAACACAGATGTAAGCATCGTCGAATCCGTTTATAAGCAGTTGTAAGCATAAGTCTTGGTAGTAAGCGAACCGTTGTACGCAAGTTCACTCATTGTAAGCAAGTTCGCACCGCTTATAACTCTTTGCGCGAGCTATTTTCAACCATTCAACTCGTACCAAACTAAGAAACGCGTTCACAATGGCACTCACTCTCGAAAAAGGCTCCCTCGTCCTCGTTACTGGCGCCAATGGCCTCATCGGCTCCCACGTGGCCGACCAACTCCTCGCAGCGGCCTACAACGTTCGCGGCACCTCCCGCTCCGC